TCATTAAAACGGTGTTATGCAAGGCCATCTAATGACTTAGAATGATGTTCCATTACGTTTTCTAAAAGCATATTTACTGAGCACTTACTCTATGCTCTGCATTTTGCAAAGCACTTTAAGCATTACCTTGCCTAATTCTCCCAGTGATCCACCTGACTCCTTCAATCAGTTGCCAAATCCTCTAACTTCTACCTTCAGCATGTTTTTCTCATATCCAAGCCTTTCTATTCATCCCACTGCCACCATCCCAGTGCAGTCCCTTTGTTAACCTCCTCCTTGACCTCTGTAAGATCTTTTGAACTGGTCTTCTCGCCCCCATCTCTCTGCTCTCACCTTTTGGCCTATCTCAACTTATTTACTTTATATTCATGCTAATCCACTACCTCTGCTAAGAATCCTTCAGAGATTCTCCACTTAGTTTCCCACTCTCCAATCTTGATTTCTGTGGTACCCCACACCTACTCCACATTTCAGCCACGTGGTCTACTTGCAATTGTCAGGATCTTTTCCTTGGTCTCCTTTCTCTATCTAGAAATCGTGCTCCCCCCATCTCTGCCCGTTCAAACTCTGCTGATTATTCCAGAAGCAGGTCAAGTGTCAACTGTCCAAATATGTTTTCTTCTTTTCCTATCAACTCTATATTGCCATTCCCGCACTGCTTACCACATGTTAACATTATGTCATCATTTATACGTCATTATTTGTGGACTTACCTTTTCTGCCTACCAATATTTCTGAAGCCCCTATGACATGTCAAGGATATATACTAGGCATTTTACATGTGTTATCCAATTTAATTGAATCCTCACAATAGCCTTGTGAGATAGGTGTTACCATCCCCATTTTACAGATCAGGAATCTGAAGCTGTCAGAAGTTAATTAACTTGCTCAAAGTAGCATCCTTACTAAGTGGCAGAGTCATCATTCCTTCACCAAATTTTATTCTAATCCATGTCTGCCAGATTCCTAAACCCTCTGGGCTTTTCAACATAGATTGGGATGTCCCTTTGGGGGCAATTAGCACTGAAGCCTCAGGGCAATACCGATCTGGGAAAGGCAGTTTTCTCTTCCTCTCTCATTTGATTTAGATTCATTGTGCTATAGAAAATGCTCCTTTGGCTCTCAGTCAGCACTTAGTCTGGGCTAGCACAGGACTAAAGAAATGATTCATGAAGACAAACACCACACAGGATGTTTAGTTCCACTGGTGACCCTGATTATTGTAAAACTGTGAAAGGAACGCCAAGCCCCAGCACACGTTTAGCAATCTAGAACTCCCAGCTCTCTGCCTCCTCAGTTTAGGCTTTACCCTAAACCTCTTTGTTCCCTGATTCGATCCAGACGGATGCCTCAGATTTCAGAAACAAGGCAGGAACAGCATTGTTGTCATTAGGGTCAGCCTTGGCCGATAAGACTCCCTGCCATTAATACCCAGCAAAGACGCACAAGAAATTCACATGAAGAGTAAGAACAGGGAAGGGTTAGTCTACCCTGAATTGTTTTTTTTCACCATTTAGGATTGGAAGCCCCTAAAACTTATTGGGTCAATTCATACTGCCAAACAAAGAATATTATAATAATGGGTTTATTCTCTTCCTTATTGTTTTGGAGTCGAGGGTGTTCAGCAGCCACTGTTTGCTCAAGAAGAGTGTAAACAGGACTTGCTGACGCCTGTGGCCAACATAGATGACTCTTAAGCCACTTCCACTCCGGCATGGGGTGTGGATCTAATGGTAAAGAAGCTGAATGGGAAAGAGAGTTAGGTAACTCTAATTTGTGTTTTATTTGTATTTTCTCTTTCAGTCCTCAAAGCAATCTTTTTTGAGGTAGGTGTTATTGAAATACCAATTCTACAGATCCAAAAACTGGGGGGTAAGTAACAGGCAGGGACTGGAACCCTGGTATGTTGAGTTCCACAGCTTTCCACTGCCCTCAGCTTATGCTCTGTGGCAAGGCCTTTTGCTTAGGCAAATGCCAATCATTTAAAAAGGACTAAAGGCAAAATTTCTACACAAGTTAGAGCTCTCAAGTATCAATATTCTTCCCTCCCTCCCAAGCAAGATGATACAAAGTGTTTAATTTTTTAAACATCTCATATTTTCCATAGTGGACAAAGATATCAGCAAGAAGTGGTAGTTGAGCTGTAAGATTGTTACCTTCCACACAGGGGGACTCCTATGTTGGATTCTTAGGCAAGTGAGTTTGCTTGATGGAACTCACTTGGTTGGTTAGACCACAGGCCACCAAGGCCAGTAAGCAACACTTACTGACAAAATCATCCTGTTCCCAGCCATCTTTAAAACAGGTCATACAGTGACTGGGTGAAAATGTGGATGGCCCAGGGCAGGACACTGCTGGGACTGATACAAGTTACAAAAATTTCCACTGACTGGGGTCACTTGTTCATATTCATGAATGAAGTGAAGTATCTTTATTTACACAAAAATTCTCTTCTCTCTTCCCACGCCCCTCACTTCTTCATGATCTGTTTTGTTATAGATAGTCTAATGGTTAGAATACCGTCATAATAATACATTTCCATATGGGACGGGGTTATGGTTGCTAATCACTAGTTAACAATGACAACTTATAAATAATATTTCAACCTCTCAAAACCTTAGCCAAGTATGACATTTCAGATTAATTGTACAGGGCTAGACTCAATGTATTACAAAGTCTTTCATATTTCACGTAGATAACAACTTTTATTTGCCTTCTGCCATGAAGTTCTTGTAAATATGTTGTTGCTGCGTCTGCCATATGGTTTTTAAAAAGTTACTCAGAACACAACCAATTATTGTTATTTCAGTACCATAGAAACTACTGAGTTTTGTTACTCCTTTTTTGTATCCCTCCAAAAGAATGTTCAAAGGCATTTTTGGTTGGAAGACATTCACTACTTATTCTCTGAATTATGTTGGCAACATTTTAGAAATACCTTGAAAAAGACTTACGACATATGTCAGCAAAAGTCCAGAGAAGGAAAGTAGAGATTGGCTGAAAGTGAGATACTACAGAACTCGAAGTCTGGCCAAAGGTGGGTCATGCACTGTCAGGTACACTAAAGAAAGCACACCGGGGGAGGCAAACTACAAACAGGATCCACATTTAGCAGCCCACAAGGAAACTGGATGTTTAATACCAAGGGAAGAGAGGTGATGGGATCCTTCAGTCCCCCTTGCAGACCTACCATTTTCATACTTTCTTGAAGCCATGATAAAATCACAAGGATTCCCACTTCGATCCATTATTTTCCGTTGGCCTTCCAAACTCCTTTCTTACCCCACTTCTCCCTTTTCCCACTTTCTCTTTTGCCCCTCTGTACATAATCTTTTGTTTTCAACCACTTTTAAGGTAATTCATCCCAGCTGGGAAACAACCCATGTCTTCTCCTTCCCTCATTCCCAAGTCCAGGCACTCAGGTCCCTCCTGAGGTCCTTGGAGCTGGGACCTTTCCCCTGAGCTCAGCAGCCCAAGCTGTGAGGCTGATCTGTTTCGTGAGTCCTCCAGTGGGCTGGCTTCTCCATGACGCCAGTCTACTCCTCTTCCTCCCCCACCCCTCCCATCCCCAAAGAAACCTAAACTCCGTGGCTTCTGAAACTGTCTTGCGTGGGTCCCAAGATCCCTGCCGAGATCCAAGATTTTCTGACCTAAGTGGGGTCGGGTCGGGAGGAGAGTACCTCTTTGCAGGCGTGAAGCTCCGGTCCCGCTCCCTGAGTCACCTGGAAGGTGGTCCCAACCCAGAGCAGCAGCCGCAGAAGCCGGAGTGTGCGCGGATCAGTTCTTCCCCTGCCCCTGGCAGAGGGATGGAGGCTGTGCCCAGGCTCAGCCATAGTGTTGTTCTGAGCGAGCGGCAGCAGCGGTTCAGGTGCTGCGGCTGCAGCTACTGCTGGAAGAAGGCGGAAAAAAAGGGGAGGGAGGTTCACAGGGGGGAGGATGCAAGGGGCTGGGCTCGCTTCAGTCACCTCCCTGCGGCTACGCCTAGGCAGCCCATCCTTCCTCCTCCCTCCTTCCTCTTCTCCTCCTCCTACCCACGTCGCCTTGGCAACCGCCTCCTCGTTCCCTCCGCGCGGGTGGGGCACCGGACCACTAGCTCCTCTGCAGCTCACCTGCCGGTCGCCATGGCAGCCGCCGCCACTGGCGCGCGCGGCGTGGGAATGCGAGTGCCCAGGGTCTGCAACCGTCCCAACAGGCGCTCACAGGGCTCGAGTAAGGAACAAGGTGGAAACAACCTCCAAGCCATCGCCACCAAATTCATTATTTCGTAGCCATCGGCTACTTATGAACACCTCTAATTTTGCAGACGTGGCGTTCTATATATACTTATTAAGCACCTCCTATGTGTGAAGCGATAGAAAAATGATTGAGATGCCGTCTCTTCTCCAGAGCTTATAGCCTGGAAGAGTGGCCCCGGCACGTGTCACCTACTCTAACGGCCTCTTCTGGAGATCTTACTTCCACCCCGCCAAATCCATCTGTGCCTTTACAACCGGCGCTATGCTAAGCCCTGAGACTCCTTTAAGCAAGGAGAGTTTGCCTTAGCCGGCAATTTTCCAAGCACGACACCTGGACTCTTCCGTCTCTTGACATCCCCATTCTCTCATCGCTTTGAGAAATCCTTTGGTTAGATGCCAGGAGGAAGGACATTTCTGGGCCACCTTTTAGGAATACTTTCTTTAACTGAGGTCTTTTGCAGAAGACCTGTTCGGCGTTTTTCACCGAAGTCTCACGAGTGCCAATCCAGGGCTCCCCGGTACACTCAGCGGCGCTTTCCCTCTGCGTTCCCAGTAGCTTCTTCCCGAGGGGCCTCCCGCGTTGGACCGCCAGGTGGCGCCATTCTCGGAGGGAATTCGCCTCAGTCATAGACGGCGGGGTAGTTGCCTGGCAACTGAAATTGGGCGTGCCAAACAATTGGGACCCCGGCTCCTCCGCGTGCAAGATTGTGAGCGGCTGCGCGGGCCTCCCGTCACCCTTAAGAGTGTCTCGCTCGACATTTTACCATGCCTCTCACCCGAGACCCTTTCCAGAATCCTACGTTGGAAAACGATGATTCCTACTTGGGAAAACTGCGGGCTTCCGAGGTACTGAGGTTTCTTGCGCAGATTCCCAGTAGGGTCGACCGCACTCTTCTTTCTGTCGGCGCGACAGGAAGAGATGGTAACTTAAAGGACTATGGTGAGGACACTGAGTCAGGTACCGGAAAAGTCTGTTCTCTGCCTTCCTCCATGTCCCATATTCAGGTCTGCCAACATTTCACAGGTGCTTTTGAGCAGAGGCAAGTGGAGTTCTAGTCCAGAGGAACAAGAGACACTCACAGCCCTAAGCAATGATTGCTATAATGGGGCTTACCCAGGCCCAGGTTCCACTTTTCTCGTAGAAGTATTTGAGATGTTTGAAGTGGTGAAAAATAAGGTGAACTAAATGGTAATCGTGGCTTAATAACAAAATCAAAGCACTCCCTTTTGTTTATTCAACATTTATTATTTACTGTATGCCGGGCACTCTGCTAAAAACTGAGGATTTATAGACACATTAGATTAGCTCCTGTTCTCAGGGAAATCTAGTATAAAAGCCAGACTGACTACAGCAACAGCAAAAGTGCTTGCACAGCAGCACATGTGTTGTGACAGTTATATGTGGTGTATCATGGGAAACAGGAGCTTAAAGGAAAGCCTCCCAGAGCAGGTGAGTTTTGACATTCAAATATGAGTCAGCTGGACCAGGGGAGGGAGGAGGTGGAATGTAAGTTAGGAGGAAGGAAACAGGAACCAGACATTCAAGGCAAAGGGAGCAGCAGGTGCACATACATGGAGAGGAGGATGAGGGTGGCCTCTTTGGGACCAAAGAGTCCAAAGTGGCTGAAGCGTTGGTGTGAAATGGAGGAGTGGAGAGGGTGGAAGCTGGAAAGGTGACCCTCCTGGGGTGGGTGTGCTGTGTACAGCATGCTAGTGAGCTGGGTTTTCATCCTGGGGAATCATCTCAGGACTGTAAGCACTGGAGTGGCATACTAGATGGGTGTTGTAGAAAGCACAAGTGGCAGTGGATTGGACAGGATGTTAGTGCGACAAGAGGGATCGGCTACGAGGCTGGTGCAGCGATCACCAGGAGGAGTAACGGATGTACAGCAGTGGTGCAGGGGATGGCGGTAAGATGCAAAGGGCAGGACTGATGGGACTTTGTGGCTGACTGGACGTGGGTTCAAGAGAGTGGATGAGTCAGGGAGAGCTTTCTGAGGGCTTACCTGATACCATTTACTGAATGAGGCATCCAGGGAAAGCAAGTTTGGGGAGAAAGATGTTGAGATCAGTTATGTAGCTGTTGCTTTCGTGGTGCCTGTGGGACATTTCCATAGAGATGAAGAGTAGGCAACCTTGTTGAGAGCTGTGGGTTGAAAATGTCTGGAAGCCACAGTATTCATCTGGTGGTTGAAGGTATAGGAGAGAATGAGCTCATCCAGTGAATGTGAGAGTCGGAAAGGCAGAGACAACCCCCCTGGAGAATACCACTAAGGGACAGAGAGAGAAAGCAGAGCCGAGAAGGAAGCTGAGAAGTAACAGCCAGAGGCAGGAGGAGAACCCGGAGGATCTGGACCCACATAGGATGGAGAGAACATTTCGCGGAATCAGAGTCGTGGTGCAGAAACCGCAGAGGTCAGAAGGTCCGGACTGGAAAGGATCCACCTGACCTAGCCACAAAGGTCGGTGGTCACCAGCAAGAGTAGTTTCAGTGGGTGCTTGAGGCAGAGGCCAGACAGCAGTGGGCAGAAGAGGGAATGGGAATGGGGAGGAAGTGGAGGTGGCAAGTGTTGACTCTTTAAGAAGGCTGGCTCGGTAGGGAAGGTCATGGAGTGGGTAGCTAGACAGTGACGAAGGAATGAGGAGACGCTGGGTACAGGGGCTGGCAGGATAGCACAGGGCCCTAAAGCACCAGGAAGGGCTGGGTTCAGGGAAGGGTGATTCTTGAATAAAAGGGACTTCCCTTTCTCTGAGATGGAAGGAAAATGGATGTGAAGATGGCACTCACGCTTGACAGGCTTGACTTTCTCAGTGAAAGACCGTCTCAGCCTTCTGCTTATAGAGGCTTATGCAGCCTTCGAGGAATGGGAAGAGAGCTGCCTGTGCTTGCATCATATGTATTTGTAGTTTTCCCATTTCCTTTTTCATCTTTCTTGGTGACAGTATACTGCCTGGTTCACATCACTCAATTAATGCCTAATTGAGCTGAGTCACACAGCACTGTGTTATATACAGGGTAGGAGGAGGGTTCCTACATCCGATAGGTTGAACGAGATTTCTACTAGGTTGTAGTTGTACTCACTGGAATTCAGTCATTGATTCAATCAATATTTCATTTTAGAACACCATGTGTTAGGTCGCTGTGCTAGGCACTGGGGATACAGTGGTGAACAGTATGGCATTTTACATGTAATGAAGAAATCAGCTGTGTGCTTTTCATATTCGTACTTGTGGGGTTTTAATTAGAGGACTGAACATCCAATGAACTTTTTGACATTCCTGCAGACACAATGACCCTTCCCTGCTTACTGAAATTTTCTCACCTGCCTAGACACTGCTCTCTCCTGATTCTCTTGTCTCTGACTGCTCCCACCGCCACCCCCATTATAATACTGTGCAGTCCTCATGAACCGCCTCTTCCTTGTTGGTCAGACGCCTTTTTGCAGGCTTCAACCACCACTTCAGGGGGATGACCCCCAGATCTCTACTACTTGTTCTGAGCTCTCCTCCAACAATTGCACACTTCCAATTTCCTACCTGTTAATTGCATTAGGATATCTTCTCTCTTCTTCAAGCTCAGGACTTCTAAACCTGAGCTCATCTTGCCTCTCTACTCCCCACCCTTCACCTCCTGTCCCACTTCACCCCTTTCCCTGTATTCCTGGCCCATTTCTGTCAGTTCTGAGATTGAAAACTTAGGAGGATCAGAAGCCTGGGAGTCTTGCCCCATTTCGTTCTTCTCTTTTAGATGTTTGCGATTCAGTTAAAATGGGATGGGATAAGGGGATGGATGTCACTGACGCTATCACATCAGCAAGGCCTCTGGTAACCAGGGGTGGGTGTGGTTTCTCTTTTGCAGAAACTGCCATATAAGAACCCAACTCACCTTGCTCAGCAACAGGAACCCTGGTGTCGACTCAGCTCAACTCCCACAATCACGTCCATGAGGCAGGCTGTTTATTTTTTTGATCCTGAGGTACCTAGCATTGAAATGCTATTTCTCCTTATATCCACTTAGGACTAATTAATATCCTTTTTGAAAGGTAGTCTGTCCCTGACTACCTTAGCATCTTTATCTTGTCCCCAATCCAAGATCCTACCAAATCTAAAACCAAATACCAACTTATCAACTTCCTCTGGGAAGTCAGAAGGCTTGGGTTTTGCTGCAGTTGATTATCTGGAGCAAATCATTCTCTCACCAGACTTCTCATTATAACCATGAACGAGGTAAGGCCCGTTAAGCTCAAGTCCAGGACAATATAGTGGTTCTCATGTCTCCAGGAGAGCTCCCCACTCCTAAGACCTAACCATGAGACAATTCTATATGGACAAGAGTTAAGAAGTCATCATGTATAGTAATTTGGTATGTAGGGAGTTGGTGGATCTCAGGCCCAGAAGGGGTTCACTCTGCTTTGGGGCAAGAGTAGAGCCCAACAGAACCCGACTAGAGCAGGTGCAAATGTGGCAAGTTAACCCTGGGGGTGGCGGGGTTGGCTTCCTCCGTAGATACCGAAGGATGATCTGGATTTCCGATTAGCAGCCTTGTACAACCACCACACAGGGACGTTCAAGAGCAAAAGTGAGACACTGATACACCAGGAGACCATTCAGGATGCCCACGGGTAAGTAGTGGAGGCGGAGCCTCTCCCTAAGGACAATGCCAGTCAAGTAATGTAAAGTGTCATCTGAGAAATAACAATCAATAGGTTCTTGCTTCTATAGATTTCTGTTATTTTTTACTTCTGTAATACAAGTTCTGTTTTTTTATTTTCTAAAATGAACAGAGATCTTCCAGGATTGTGCTCATCTGTAGCACAAAATCTTTGGTTCATTCCAGAGGGTAAAAAGGGCCTTCAGCTGCTTTACTTTATTTTTATTTTTATTTTTTTGCGGTACACGGGCCTCTCACTGTTGTGGCCTCTCCTGTTGCGGAGCACAGGCTCCGGACACGCAGGCTCAGCAGCCATGGCTCATGAACCCAGCCGCTCCGCGGCATGTGGGATCTTCGCGGACCGGGGCACGAACCCGTGTCCCCTGCATTGGCAGGCGGACTCTCAACCACTGCGCCACCAGGGAAGCCCCAGCTGCTTTATTTTTAAGGTTGCATGCAACTCTTTCCCTCCTTACCTTTCTTCTCCTGATTGATTTCACTCTCCCATGTTCTTCCCCACACCATCTTCTAGAATCAAGATCCAATTCTCTGGAGAATTTTTATCCCCTCCCCAGCCACCCGCCATCACTTCCCGAGCTAACATTAGACACTGGATCAACCCTAAGAAGGAGTCTATTCACAGCATCCAGGGATCCATAGGTAAGGGTCAGAAGACTGAGGGGTGGGAGGCAGATGGGTGGTGCAAGAGTTTTTCTAAATGGTCACAGGAATCAGGGAGTTGAGGTGATTGGCTATTAGGGAACATCAGGGATAACTGAGAGTCTGGCACATATCAGACTAAAACCAGGGTACATGCTGACTGTAGACCTAGGAAATGAATTCAGTTTTTCAGAGCCACTACCTCAGCCTTAGGTCTAGCGGACAAAAATTTTCAGCAAAGGGCAGAAACCGGGGAGTGAAAGACCTATAGCTACCTCCCATCAGTCCTCTATATGCCAGTTTCCTCAGCTGTTAGAACCTTCTCCATTGTCCCCATAAATGTGTGGGCGACAAGTTCCCAGAAAAGGCAAAGGATCTGAAATTCACAGCCCACTCCCTCTTCTCTTTTCTCCACAGTGTCCCCTCACACTGCAGCCAGCAATGGAGGGTATTCCCGAAAGAATGATGGTGGCTTCTTCTCCACCTAAGTGTTGACGGGCCCCTGGACTAATTAATCATAGTGGAACATCCTGCCGCCCACCTCCATGAAATAGATTTGTGTAAGATGAAGCCTGGAGTATCTGTTACCCATGGACTACCAGTTGCCACATGACTACTCTTAAAATATGGAAGTTTCTCAACTTCTAGAAACTAATCCTGGTGGGCATATTTGCAACTCGGAAAGTCATCTTGCTGAAAAGATACGGATATTAGGACAGAATAGCACTGTTTTTAGCAGGAGACAGGTATTCACGTTTTGTGAACTGGAGTCATTCCAACCATATCCATTCAACATGTCTTGCAAACATTTTTTTTTTTTTTTTGCGGTATGTGGGCCTCTCACTGTTGTGGCCCCTCCCGTTGCGGAGCACAGGCTCCGGACGCGCAGGCTCAGCGGCCATGGCTCACTGGGCCCAGCCGCCCCGCGGCACGTGGGATCCTCCCAGACCGGGGCACGAACCTGTGTCCCCTGCATCGGCAGGCGGACTCTCAACCACTGCGCCACCAAGGAAGCCCCTCTTGCAAACTTTTATGTGTCAGGTACTGAGCTAAGTGTTGGGAAAGCAAGAATGGACATAGTCCATTCTCTTGAGCTTACAAACACTAATTTTAGTAGCTCTTTGTGGCATTAGCACTTAGGCTGAGGTCACGCTTAACAGATTTCAGACCTTCTGGATTTAGTCATCTGCTGAGCTCTACTTTTCCATGAGGGCTCCATCTCCCTGGCTCCTTGCCATTATTCATTCTCTTAACTCTGCTACTGTCTCCTTGCCTGGGAGTAAATTCTCTTTTCTTTGCCTTGATTTGTGCTGTGATATATAGCCCCCTATTATTGGAAACAGCGTTCAACAACCTGATCCCAGGGTCTGAAGGTACCTAAAAACTGATACAGTAATGTGGTTTCTAAAATTACAAGCCACTCACAGGAGCCTGCTGTTAAAATGAGCAAGAAATGGCAGACCTTTTAGAATATTGTACGTTAAGTTCCCATTTCTAAGATTGGACAGCATATGCATTGTTGAATAAATCAGATATGAAAGGGCTTCTTCCTGGTACTCAGGTGCAGGGTCAATACCACCAAACTATTACAGCCCCTCTTCCACCGAGATACTCCAGTCGGTTCATAGTGTTCGCTGCCAAGTGGCAATATTTTCAGTTCTCTTTATTTAGAATAGCTGAAAGTGGCAGAGTGGGTGACTTTCTGGGATAATCACCTCATGTGGGTTGATACTGAACATCAAAAAATTTATTACTGCGATCCATGCATGGAGGTTTTAAATAATATAGATTCCTAGACACCCCCCCCCCCGCTAATTCTAATTCAGTAAATCCGGTGCGGGTCCCTGGAATCTGAATTCTTATAAGGTCTCCAAGTTCTCTTACAGATATATACACGTATACAGACATGCATATATACATATATCCCTTCGCGGCAGGCGCTGTATAGTGCCTTTAGACCGGGGGCACCAGTGTTGGTACCATACAAAAGAGTCATTATGACAAGTCGGGTCTAAAGAAAAAAAGGGAGGCGGCTACAAAAGGAAACTGCAGCGGGGAACAAGGCCTCCATATCCTTTCAGCTCCCGCTCCCGCGGGCGAGGCGACGGCTCATTCTACCTCCGTCCGCCAGCGCCCGGGGCCCGCAGCCGACCATTGACACGTTAGCCTCAACGCCACGGGCGGCCGTACACTGGGCCCGGGCTCAGATCAGAATCGCCTCGATAATCAGTGGCCCAGGACAAGCCCAGCCTCGTCTATCTGATCAATTCATCATTTCTGAGCGCCGGGCCTCGAAGGACCAGCTCCGGGACCTCCGGGACCGCGGCGTTGCCACCGCCCAAGGGGCCTCGCTGCACAGCGCCCCGAGGAAGGGGCTTCGCAGGAGGGGAGCTTTTCATTTCGGGTTGGTCCGGCGGGGCTGGAGTCACAACCCGATCAAATAAGATCAAGGTGTAGGCGGGGGGAGGGGCACGGGGGCGGGCGCACGCACTCGCCTTGCACGCACCACGCGCGCACTCACACATTCTCGCGTCCACTCACACACTCAGCCCGCAGGCGCCTTCCACACACCTCGCCACACTTCTGACCAACCTCACCCCATGCCGCTCTCCCTCCGGTGAAAGGGCGGAAGTACGCAAGCTCCTTTAAAGCCCTCCGCCCCTCCTCCGCCCCGGAGGGTTCTGGGAGGAACAACCGAGCACAGGCCCTCGCCGAGTGCGCACTTTCCCGCCCCCACGTGGCTCGGAGGGGAACCAAGGGCCCAGGTAAAGGCGGGACAAATTCCCACAATACTGAATCGTGATTGTCCTTGGATCGCTGTGCAGCTACACATTTATATCCATATCTGTAGTTTTTCTTTGATCTTTGATCCAAGTTCTGGATATAAGATGATTCAATCTCAAGAGACCTCTAGGTGAATGATTTCTTTCCCAGGGAGAAGGCAAATTCTGGTCATTACCAACATCAGCTTCCCTAGGAGCTCCTTCTCCCATGGGAGAAGGCAAACATCATTTTACCAAAGGGAAAGGTGAGAATAGATTACTTAAGTCCAAGGACTAGGTAGTTAGAATATAGTAACTATATATACTACTAATATACTACCTAATATACACTAGGTAGTAGTATAAGTAAAGGTAGGAAGACATATCCCTGTCCCCACAGAGCCCTCTTGCTACCTAGAACTTGCTGTCGCAGTCATATTGCTGAATCTTCATTTACTTTCATATCCGCTAAAATAAATCTTTCAAGAATGAGTGTAAGAAAAAAAAAAAGGAACAATTATGTAAGTTAGAATTAGCTCCTTTCACATCACAAAGCACAATTTGAATGTCTCAGTTCCTTCTTTTTCCTTTTTCAAGAAATACATATGTGAGGGGGGAAAACAAATCAGAATTTTGTTATCATTTGTACTTGTGCCAGTCCCACCATGTACTTGGAATAAACAAATTGGGGAAAAGTGTCCATTGTATGTACCAGAAGCCCAAGGATTTTCTAGGTATGTGGCTGGGTAACCTGATAACCTCATTTCACTGAAGAAGTTTATGGCTTGTAATGGCAGTTGATACTTTTAATAGCAGTAGTAGGGTTGGAGAATGTTATCTACATTGTTTAATACACCTCAAAATGTATATATATATATATATATATATATATATATATATATATATATATATCTCAAAGGTGAAAGCTATACCCTCATAGATTCTGAACTATATCATACATATATCATACATTCAGTGACCATCACAAGGGCTTAACAGGATTGATGATATTCACTAATATAAACTAAAAAGGTATACTATGGGCAGAACCCAGGGGAATATTGAACAAAGTTCAATAATTCAGCATGCATGTGACAAAATGGACAAAAACAGTAGGGAAAGAAACTTTATTTTCAAGGATTTGTGCAGACAATGGTGAATAAAAAGTCTTATTTCAACTATAAAAAGCTGACTTCATTCCACCCTGGCATACAGGGTTTATGGTGACGCCAGTTTGAATCTGAGGCAATACTGCTATCCCCCTTCTTCCACCCCTAAAAGACTCCCTTAGAGGAACAACTTCCTACAATTTTCAGTCAAAAATATATGACACATCAACCAAAGTGATGAATTAAACAAGTTTCTGCTTATCTAAAGTCAAGAAATGAAATAAGCTGTGTATTTGTTTCTTGCTGTAAATTACCTTCAGTGTACTTTTTGGTACATTCTCATATGAAAACATCTCAAAATATAACAGTTCAAGAGCTTAGGTCAAGATGACCCACCCAGGAGGCTGTAAAAATTGATCTGAACTGTGAAATGGGACTAGTTTAAAATATGAAGAAGCTCTAAACACCAAGCTTAGAGATATTAGCCCTATTAGGAAACAAAAGTCATTAAAGCTACAAAATAACAAGTGCAAAACATGCTGAACCTGTATTTCCAGAGAGTGACATTCCCGTTGGCCAACAGGTTCCAAACTCACACCCACAAGGTGTAACTCTTCTTTCTGTTCCACTAGCTTTCCTTTCTCTTGTGTGAAAGATCCTCAGAAATGACTATGAATCATTGAAATTTACCCTGTGGACCAATTCCGGAAGAGACAACAGCCATAACTCTGAGATGATTAGACATGTAGTGTCTACTTGATGACTTTCTATACTTCTAGGAACCATCAAAGCACTAAACTGAATGTTTCAGAACCTAAACCTCCTAGCAGCTTTTGTTCTTTTGGAGTAAGACAAAAGACAATTTACTGCCACACTGGGGTCAACCACAGCCAACTTGTCCACAGTCAAGTTTACTTTAGTGAATAATTCCACTGGTAGACCTATGTCTCTGCTTGCTCTTTACAATAATTTAATTTTAGACCAATTCTTTTTTTTTTTTTTAATAGAGAAGTTCTAGGCTTCAGAAATGCAACAGTTGATCCTTTTGCAGATAAAAGGAGGAGGGAATGGAGAAGTCTTCACTTCAAACGTAGAGTCATCTAAAATGATTTGTTCAGGAGTTCCCATACTCCATGGAAAAGCCCATCAATCTCAATTGCGAACCTCTGCTTTCCTTTACTTTAGAAAACACTCTCATTTTATTCATGGATTCTATGAACTGTCCAAACATGCCTATGAATGCCATCAACTTCTCTCATTCAAATTTCCCATGTTCTTATAATTTCCAAGAGACAGCTAAATACTACAATATGAAGAAAATTAAAAGTGGGCCAAGAAACACAAGTAATCGACTGAAAATTGCCATAACCCAGATTTAAACAAAGAATAAGTTTGTATGTTGGTTAACATGACAGAACTTCCATCTAACATCACAATAAATTCTAGATGACTTTACTAGTATATGAATTAATATACTAGATTTATTTATTTCTTCTGCCCCAACTGCAAATTATTTCTTCAATAGTTTCTCTTTCCCCTAGTGGTGGCATTTAAAACTGAGTAACAGTATTTAGCACTCAGTAATTTAGAAAATATTTAAAAAGCTTTAGGAAAATAGCAACAGTTTCAATATACCATTTGAGGGGGTGAAGTTTCCTTTTGGGAATACTGGTGAATAGAACATTGTTTCTTGTCTAAGTTACTCCTTTCTGGTCTCACCACAGACAATTTCCAAATCTTATGTAGGCCCAGATTCTCTTGGCAAAACTCTCTGGCTACCAGCACACAGCACAGCTATTTCGTCTGTTCTCTTTTTGCAACGAGGATCATGCCTCTCTCTTATGTTCCCAGATGGGTATATGAAAGATAAATTTCCAAAGCCAAAAAATTCCTTGGCATTGTTTAACTCCTATTTCCCACCCAGC